AACATTTACAGAGATTTTGGGCTTCCACTCATTCATTGTTGCACTATTCTCTCTACCCTCCTCCCAGTTTGTTCTTGTCCAAATGCCACAGTGCTTGTACTTTATCTTCTTCTACCCTTTTCTAGATGGGTAAACTTGGACAAGGGATGGAACATCCCTGAGCCTCAGTTTCCTCATGTATGATGGAGGTGTTGAGCATGTCCCTTCAGTGATCAGCTGAAACCAGTGTTAACACCCGAGAACACTTGGAAGAGCACATTTCCCACAAACCCTTGCTGCCTTGCAGTTGAGGCCCTCTTGGTGGGCAGGTACCACACTGCTCCGCCATCCTTGGGTCTAGGCGAGCCATAAGTTGGCAAATAACTACAAGAACAATTACAACACTCAATATGTCCTTGCTAGAAAAGTGAGCAGAAGCATCAAAACAACTCTGTGGGCACTGGATAGAGGCTGGTGTCTCTCACGGGGTCCACTCTTAGCCCTGTGTCAATTCAGTACATCTGTAAAGATACTTGTTGAATATTCAACCTGGAAGGTAGGACGTGGTTGGGGAATAGCAGTTGGGTCAGATGATGTGTGTACTAGGAGACAAGACACCTACACTGGTTCTCCAGCGAGAAGAAGGGGCTGCTTGTTCAGCACTTCCTTGCTTATTCACTTATCATGGCAAGTCCAGTCCAACGGGAGTTGACTACTCATCTTTCTCCCACGGAGCATTCAAGCTGGTGGATTCAAACACTGTGCAGCTCCTTAGCACTAGGCCACCAAAGCTCCTATGCACAGCATGTTGTGACTCACAGCTGACCCTCCAGAGGCAGTAAATCACACAAGAAGAGACTGTCCATCTTCCTCCTTTGAAGCAGCAGTGGATGTGAAGCATATGCCCTCAGGTTGACAGCACTGCTCCTTACCACTAGGTCATCAGAGCTCCCCAAGGCATAGGCACGTTGCTGTTTTTGTTGTTGAATATCATCAAGTTGGAAATGACACATAACTGACCCTCTAGCAAGTTTTCCGATGGCATGGGAGGAGACTGTCCATCCTTTCCCCCGTGGAGCACCTGATAGCTTTGAACTGCATGCCTTCAGGATTACAATGCAGCTTCTTACCACTAGGCCACCAGAGCTACAAAGACACAGAATAGGTGATACAATCTGGAAAATAAAAGTACACCACAAGGGGGCAGTGGTGAGAGGCACGACGAGCAGGGCTGAATCCTTGTGGGCTGAATCCTTGTGGGTCTGCTAGGGCAGGTGACTGACAGCAGGCCCGCTGCAAGCAAACCAGGGAGGCCTAGGGACGGGCTCACAGCTGTGCCATCCCTCTACAGCAAAGAACCCAAAGAAATTCCCTGGAAGACCGTCGGGAGCCCCTTTGTGGTGGAGTCCACAGGCGTGTACCTTTCCATAGAGGCAGCTATGGTAAGCAAGAGAAGTGCAAGGGCTGACTTAGGGGTAAGGGTTGTGCCACTGAAAGCACCAGCTAACACCTGTGCCCCTTCCTAGAACCACATCACAGCAGGTGCACAGCGTGTGGTCATCAGCGCACCCTCACCAGATGCGCCCATGTTCGTCATGGGTGTGAATGAAAAGGACTATAACCCTGGTACCATGAGAATTGTCAGGTAATGGCAGGGGCTCGGTGGGGACTCGGAGCACAGCATTCTGAAGAATATGGGTACCAGGGACCAGATGCTCCCCTCAGCTTCCCCATCTCCATTCCCAGGAGACCCCTAGTGCTTCCTTCACAGAGACCTACAATCCTGAAGTCAGACATGATTGCAATCCTGTAAATGTTACCCTAAAACAATGTTAGACATGCAAGACTTTGGGAAAACTGAAGGAGTTTCTCCCAGCAACAGCTCTTTATTCTGACTGGCCTCTATCATCCCAGCACTGACTTCTCATGAAAGGCCTGGTGACATACCCTTAAAAGGGGTGAGGGTGGGAGGGGTGGCTCTGCAACTAATCTTGTACCTGGGCCGTTTCAGCAACGCATCCTGCACCACCAACTGTCTGGCCCCCCTGGCCAAGGTCATCCATGAGCGATTCGGGATAGTGGAAGGGCTGATGGTGAGTCAAAGACAAGGGGTTGAGGCAAGAGGGATGGTAGAGTCAACCTTTTCTTCCCATAATTTATTTAGTGTATAGAGCTAACAGGAAAAGGCTGGTTTAGGGAGGGAGAAGCCCATGGCTAGTGAAATGTTTTAAAACACTGCACAACTCTCGGGCAAGGCCCCTAGTCTGCATGTACCAGAATGCTGTGGGAATAGCTCTGCCAGTCTCTATATCTAAGCCACTGTCCCCGGCCTGAGAGAAAGGCATGAGTGCTCAGAAGCAGAGGCCTCACCTCAGCCCTCTTTCTTCCGCAAGACCACAGTCCATTCCTACACAGCCACTCAGAAAACCGTGGATGGGCCATCCAAAAAGGCCTGGCGAGATGGACGGGGTGCCCATCAGAACATCATCCCTGCCTCCACGGGGGCTGCCAAGGCTGTCGGCCAAGTCATTCCAGAGCTTAAAGGGTATGAGGGCAAGAAGCTGCAGCCAGGGTGGATGATACACCCAAGGGCCCCAGGGAGGGTACTGCACTGGCCCTAAAAGCCTTAAGGTGTTTGTTAAAGGGATAGCCCCAGCGCAAGAAGGGACAGATGTAGATATCCCTGGGTTCTGACTCCCATGCCTGATGTGACTCTCCAGAAAGCTGACAGGGATGGCATTCCGAGTGCCAACCCCAGATGTATCTGTTGTGGACCTGACCTGCCGCCTGGCTCGACCTACCACATACTCAGACATCAAAGAGGCCATAAAAGCAGCAGCCAGGGGGCCCATGGCTGGTATCCTGGCCTATACAGAGGATGAGGTAGGCCCTAAAGAAAGAGGACCCTGGGTGTGGTGTGATTCCCTCTTGTCAGGGAGCTGTTCAAAATATGTCAGCACTTTACAGAGCTGTGGAGGCCAGCTGTCTGCCTCAGGGCCTTTGCACCTGATGTTCTTTTGGTTTGGAAAACTCTTCTTCCTGGTGGCCACGTGGTCTGGCCTCATTTCTCCCAAGCATTACAACTCACCTCCTCAGCAAGATATTCCTTTTTTGGTTCTCTTCCTCACCTGAAATTTCATTCACTGTTATGTACAAAGAATTAGGGGCTCTTTCCCTAGCCTGGGCCTAGCATACAGCAGGAGAATGAGAGACAATAGCTCCCCTACTACCTCGTTCGAATTGCCTGCCCTGTTTCAAGAAAGGGGTGATTATTGGTATAGGGTGTGCTCAGCAGGCAGAACCTTAGACCCTATGCTGGGAACTTTACAGTCCCCATTTCATTACCTCTACACTGCCCTGACTCGGCCAGTGAGGCAAGGCTCCAAGGCCTGCAAGTGGCAGGACCAATATGAAACCAAGCCTAATAACCCCAAGCCTAGCCTCCCGGGGCTCCTCGCACTTATCTTCGAAACGCTGACATCCAGGTGGTTTCCACGGACTTCATCACCGACCCCCATTCCTCCATTTTCGACGCCAAGGCGGGCATAGCTCTCAATGACAACTTTGTGAAGCTCATTTCCTGGTAAGGGGTGCCAACAGGAATCTGAAAACTGGGGACCAAGAGGGAGGTGGGGGGAAAGAAGGGTCCCCTGACTTCTGCTTCCTACCTGACCCCTCGCCTCAGGTATGACAACGAATACGGGTACAGTCACCGGGTGGTCGACCTCCTGCGCTACATGTTCAGCCGAGAGAATTGAAGAGGCAAGACCGCCCCCTAAAGTCCGTGCCCACCTCTCGTTCCCTGTGAACCTCTTACCGTGGCACATATAAGACCCTAAGATGCAAACTGCTTCAATAGCCGAGGAAATAAACAAAAGCAAACTCGGAAAGTTCCCCCGCGCTGTGTTTCTTGGCGGGTCACGTGGCCTTCGAGCCCCCTCCCCCTCCCCCTTAACGTGATTGACCTGCAGCCATGGAAAAGCCTCAACTCCGAGCATGGATCCACTCCGGAGAAACCCGAACTCCTACGGGCGAGCGTGGCTGTGAGCCGGTCCCTCAACCACGTGCACCAACGCCAAAGGAGTGGGCAGCAGCCACGGCCCGGGGTCAGCGCGGCGCCCCGCCCGCCGGCCGTGCTCTGACGTCACGACGCGCGCGACGCTCCAGACCCGGACAACGGCTCCCAGGAGTGAGGACAGGTGGGCGCGGGGCCCGGGCTGCGGTGGGGACGGCGGCGTCTGGGGCCCCCGCGGAACTCCGCCTCGCGACCCCAGCGCCGGCTGGACTGGGCGGCCAGCGTCATGACCCTGTTCCACTTCGGGAACTGTTTCGCCCTCGCCTACTTTCCCTACTTCATTACGTATAAGTGCAGCGGCCTGTGAGTGCGGGGCAGAGAGGGCGCGGGGTGGCGAGGGCGCGGGGCCGGATAGATGCCTGACCGTCTGCTCCTCCAGGTCTGAGTACAACGCCTTCTGGAAATGCGTCCAGGCTGGGGTCACCTACCTCTTTGTGCAGCTTTGCAAGGTGAGAGCTGTGGACTCGGGGAGCCTCCCTCGTCCTCCTACCCCACCAACTGCCCCGCAGAGAACGGTGACGCGAGCGCTCTGCTCCCGTTAAGATTTACAGCCTTGAAATCTCTTTACAGAAGTTCTTCTTTGTCCTGTTGGGTCGCTAGGATGCTAAATCTGCTCAGGGATTTTCGTGGTTTGAGGAAGGTTGGAACTCTTTTGCATGACACTTTTGGAATAATTAAGGAAAAGCTCAGCTACATGATTTAGATAGACCTTTGTACAGTTAAGAATGCTAAATAACTTCTAAGACCGCACATGGTGCAGCCAGCCCTACCCAGGTAACCAGCACCAGTTTCTCCCAACCTGACTCAGGTCCCCTGAGATCGCCACAGAATTCACACTTCCAGCCCCCCCCCCCCCCCAGGGGGAACCAACCACCTTGTCCCCTGTCTCCTACAGCCCTGAAATCTTATTGCTACCTGGTGGCCGCACTTCAGCTGCTCCCAGAGCCCCGGGGTCCTGCCCCCCTCCACTCACTGACCTCTCTCAAAACCCAAGTGGCTGATGCCGCTCACCTTGAGGTGACCTCTCCTATTCTGTTCTCAGATGCTGTTCCTGGCCACTTTCTTTCCCACTTGGGAAGGCGGCATCTATGACTTCATTGGGGTGAGTGAGGCTAGGGAGCACAGGAATGGGGTCCATTGCTCCGTACTGCACAAGCCTCAACCTAAACCCTGGACCCACAGGAGTTCATGAAGGCCAGCGTGGATGTGGCTGACCTGTTAGGCCTGAACCTTGTCATGTCCCGGAATGCCGGCAAAGGGGAGTACAAGATCATGGTTGCTGCCCTGGGCTGGGCCACCGCTGAACTCATAATGTCCCGGTGCGTGCAGGAGCCTAGAGCCCAGACTCCTGAGGAGGGACACCTGGGTCCCAGGAGGGTGCAAAAGGGCATGGGCTCAGATTATGGGTACTGAGTGTGTGGGTACAGGAGAAGCTTTCCCTCTGCCTTCCTCAGCTGCATCCCCCTCTGGGTCGGAGCCCGAGGCATTGAGTTTGACTGGAAATACATCCAGATGAGCATAGACTCCAACATCAGTCTGGTATGCTATCCTGTCCTTCCTCCCCACTCCCCCCTTTTTGCTGGTGGCTTTATTGCAGAAGGCCTGGCCCTAATTTCCTGTCTTCCTCCAGGTCCATTACATCATTGCATCTGCCCAGGTCTGGATGATAACTCGCTACGATCTGTACCATACCTTCCGCCCAGCAGTCCTCCTGCTAATGTTCCTTAGTGTCTACAAGGCCTTTGTCGTGGAGTGAGTTAACTGGGGCTAAAAGCTATATTCAGAGGAGGGTGGCTTAACTATTCTTCTTTCCTCATTGTGATGTTTTCCCACAGGACCTTTGTCCACCTCTGTTCCCTGGGCAGCTGGACAGCATTGCTGGCTAGAGCAGTGGTGACGGGGCTGCTGGCCCTCAGCACACTGGCCCTGTATGTCGCTGTTGTCAACGTGCACTCCTAGGCTTGGTGTTCAAGCGTTCACATATCTATTTCCTGTCTTTCCCAGAGTTTCAGTAAACAGTGTTTGGAAAGTTATTTATGCCTCCATTTATCTCTGGAATTGTCTGCCAATAGCAAGTCCACCCTGGGTCTTAGAGGAGCTAAGTATATGAGCTGGGAAGCTAGTCAGTCCATTGATAGACCTGGAGCAGTTTCCTGGACTCCTCTTTTCCCAGAGACTTTGAGGGTTTAAATAAAATAAGTGACCTTCGAACAGCAGCTGGGGCTAGTCTGGGCTAGTAGGAGCTACTTTCTTCATCATATCCTCACTTCAGTCTGCCTTGGCTCTCTCCAACGTGGGCCCAGCACGGCCCATCTACCCCTCTGATTATGTTTGGCCAGGGTAACTAGGTCACTTCCCCTACTTGCTACCACCTGTGGCTCCTCATTGCATAGTGAATAGTCCAACTGTCTGTTTCTTCATTTAGCCATTGGTCTCTCTGGAGCTGCTTTCTGGAATAACTTGCCCTAGGCAGAGTTCGGATACAAGGCTTTGGCCTTAAGACACCAGGAGTGTCTTATTCTGAGCTCTTCAGTGCTTTGTCTCAGTTCACATCAGATCTTCTCAGAGCACTTGGGCAAATAGAGCAGTTAAGTCTACCTCCTCAGTGTTGTTCTGGATGCCATTCACTTCTCCCCCTAGCCCTTCCTTTGTCCAGTGTGTCCTGCTTCTTGCCTCCTTCCCTCTCCTTTCTCAAGAAATGTATCAAAACTTTGAGCATCCTGATTAAGCTCCACCTTGGAAATCTTGCCAAAGCAGGAAGCTGCTCCCTAGGCCTAGAGTTTCTAGTGAGATCATCAGGGGTATATGAATAGTCCTGCCATATGGTATTTAACCCCTAACTTGGGAAAGTACTCAGGAAAGTTCTTTTATGACAGCCTTTTGTTTTCAGGGTGAGCATTTACCCTCAGATGGGATAGCCACCCCCTAGCCCTATCCCCAATTGTCTTTTTTTAGAGACAGTTAATTGATGGGTCTTCTTAATTTTGATGTGGAAAGGCTATAGCTGGAACACTCCCCCAACCCTCCTGGGTCACCTGATTTTTTTTTTTAATTAATAAAGTGTGGTCACATGGTAATGGCAGTGTCTGACCACTAACTCCCCATAGGACAACAGTCCACATTCACATAAACACACAACCGACTCATGAGGTCAGACATGCCCCCATGCTACCGTCACCTACTTCTTTTAGTTCTAACACCAGCCATCTCTCCCAGGGTTCTGGCTGCTTTACTGCTGGATCTGCTAATCCTTTGCAGTGGCCACACAGAACTCGTAATTGTGGGGTTTATTAGGGATGTTAACAGGTTACAACTCTTCATCTTCATAGCTTCTCAGGGGTGCTCATAGACTTTTTAACCTTTGATTTTGAAGCTGTAGGCCAATGTTACAAAGTTCTCTTAATCTTGCCAATTAGGATGCCTTCTCATTCCATTAGTAATCTTGAGTACAGGCCCCTGGCTTGGGGTCCATGTGGCACCCTGGAAGTACCGTCTCAGGTCAGCTTTGTCTCCCATCAGCCTTCAGTTCTTTGAGGCCGCTGCTGCTGCTGCTTTAATCTAAATCCCCATCTGACTGGCACAGGACTCTGATCTTGATAGATGCGCACTAGGCTCCCCGTTTCTTTTTTCTTGCTAGTAACAAGATTCCCATTTTCTACCTCCAAGCCCACTCTATTTAAACTTGATGGGATGCCAAGACTAACCCTTATCAGTGGTCTACATACCCTGTTTGCATGATCCTACTCCAAAGGTGCTATTTGCATAATAACACAGTCTCTGCCAGTCATGTGGCAAATGTCAAAGCCAGAGTGGGCTGGGAAAGCCATATTGCACAATCCACACACAGCACCACAGGCTACCCCCTGGCTTTTCTAGCTGTTGACTTTTATGACTGAAGGATTAACTTCCCCTTTGCAGTCATTTTCTAATAACCATTCTGTGCCTTATACCTTATTTTCTCCATTTTAGATAGTCAATTTCTAATTAGCTCATTCCTATGAAATATTGGAGAAGAGTGCTGAATATCCCATGGACTATCTTAGAATAAACAGCTAGGTCTTGGAGCAGGTGTAGCCAGAGTGCTTGTTGGATGCAAATATGATGAAGCTTCATTTCACATACTTTAAGCATGCTGCTAGGAGAGGTTATTCCTGGGAGAGGGACAGTGAAGGAAAGGAAGATCCTCAACCAAGTGGTTGCAGTGACTGGTGACTGCAGCCGTGGGCTTGAGTGTGCCAGAGCTTGTGAGGATGGCACAGGATAGGACAAGGTTTAGATGGTTCGTAGGGTTGCACGAGTCGTACTTGATGGCACATAAGCAAATACCCTGGAGAAACAAGCATGTTCCTTCCCTGAATAATCTGCTGTTCTTACTGGAACTTTGATCATCTGTATCCATAAACAAAATACATCAGCGTGCAGAAGTTTTGCTCTAGTGCACCACTCTCCCTGGCCCATCCAGTCTTTGACATATATTGAAAATGTAAAGGTTGCCAAATGAATGTTAATTCAAAAGCACTACTCATCCAGGCCCTCTGCTGGTGACCAAATTAAATAATCCCAGTTTTCATGGAGCTGAAGGAAACAACTGGTCACCAGACAACAATCTACCAGATTAATAGGAGCTAAGGTGAGTGGTGCTTGGGCAATGGTAAGACTATAATGAACCCTGGTGGCCTGGTGGTAAAGAGCTGTGCTGCCAACCCAAAACGTTATGGTTCAAATCTACCAGATAGCTCTGTGAGAGAAAGATGGGAAATCTCTAATGAAATTTACAGCCTCTGAAGACCTGCTGGAGAGTCAGCTATGAGTTGATTCTAACTCAGCAGCACAAAACAACAAAAAATAACGAGGACACACTATGGTAGGGAAACGGTTATAGAAAGTGCTTCAGGCTTCTAGGGGCCCATTGAAGGTGCTTAACTGGCCTGGGCTCCTGGAGATGTATGCCCTCCATCTGAAGGCTGACTTAGTGATGCAAAGAGGAGAAAAACATGTCAAAACTAAGTCCAAAAGTCAACTCTTTCCAAGAGCTGGATGATACTTTATTGTAAGATTGCCATAGTCAGCAGGGACCAGGTTACAGCTCTGAAGGTTAGGCTGGGAAGTTTGCAAGGGGCACTGGGGAACCAATGGAGGTTTCTAGAAGGACAGGATCAGGCCTTAGGAAGATAGGAGGTAGCAGATGAACTGCCAGGTGGAGAAGGTAGAATGTATACAGAGGCAGTGTAGATAATCCCTGAGCTGTGTGTCCATTTTGTTGGCAGGGGGTAATGCAATAGGAAGATAACAAAGAATGAAGGAGTCCAGGGTGACACACGCTAGGGTTGTAAATGCCTTGAGGTTTCACCATGCCCTCCCAACCTGGGTGAACGAACTGAACTGATGGGGCTGTGGTAAGGTAGTAGCAAGTTTGGGACATGAGGCAGAACCATTGTGACTTCCTTTGGACAAGCTGCAGGAGGCAGGAGACATGAGCTTATACGTGAGGCTGTGCATGGAGAATGGGGAGAAGGAGAAGCCCAGACCCCAGTGAGAGTGACTCAAAAGTGGGAAGAAGAGAAGTAACAGAAAAGGAGGCGTACTGGGGGGTGGGAGAGAAAGGCATTTCCAACAATGGGAAGGAATACAAGGAGCTGTGGATTTAGCCTCTAGAGACCGTGGTGATAGGTGAGAGCAAGATCAGGTTGATGCACACAGTTGTTTGAGAGAAAGAAGAAGGGGTGCTGAGCACGAGAGTTGTGGTGGATAGGGTAGTAATTAAAGCCACTGGCTCTGGTAACCACCTGCCATCACATGTGGCTCTACCTTTGCAAGCAAAGCCACTGCCTTCAGGTCGTTTTTGGCTCAACAACAGAGCAGCCCCATAGAGTTTTCAAGACAATAAAACTTGATGGAAGCAGACTGCCACATCCTCAAGAGTGGGCTGGTGGGACTGAACTACCAACCTTTCAGTTAGCAGCCCAATGCTTAAGTTCCATAAATGGGAAAAAATGGAGATGCATTTTCCCAGCAAATGTTTATCGATTACTTGCTTTGTACTGGGCTGTGTGATGGTGGTGTGTCCCATCGAGTCGGAACTGATCCATAGGTGACCCTCCAGCAGATTTTCAGAGGCAGTAAATTGCAGGGAGGAGACTGCCTGTTTCTCTCCTGCGGAGCAGCTGGTAGATTGGAACCACATACCTTTGCATTGGCAGCACAATTCCTTACCACTAAACCACCAGAGCTCCATGGATTGTATGCTAGGAACTATTCTACAGACCCAAATACAAGCCCCTACCGTTAGGATTGTAGAAGAGTAAATGGACAGTGAAAATAATTGATGACTCTGCTTGGCACAGAATTGTGAGCTGGTTTTATTACTGGCATGCAGATCATGTGTTTTTCACAGAGCTCCCAGGCAGCCCTCATACAAGGCCTAGAGTCAAGTCCCAAGAAGAGATAAACCTCACCAGGAGCTACTAGCTCCTGCTTTCCACCAGAGCTCCCACCACCTTACTGGCAAGGTTGTACTCAGACCAGCAGACAGGGCTGGGCCATGGAGGCTCATGGACAGAGAGGAGGGTCCCCCCAAGGTTGAGGAGCCATGTACTGCAGAAGTAGACACAGAAGCTGCTCCCTAGGACTCTTGATGGTTCACACATTGAGGTGATTGTCCACAAAGGTTCCAGAAACCCTGCCCCCACCTGGCTGTGATGGAAACGGGTATGAAGATGGTGATCCCTCTAATAATAGAGTTCCTGATCCCACCAGCCTGAGAGAGAGCGAGAGGAAAGGAGACTCAGTGCTGGTCACGGTTTGGGGGACGCTGGGCACCTAGGGCTTAGAGGTGGTCTGTCTTGGAGGATCAGAGGATGGGGCAGCTGCCATTGAGAGCATTTCAGCTTCTTACCCCAACCCCCATACTTACTTCCTGGGCAACAACGAACTCCAAGTTTCCGCAGCTCATCATAGACAAAGATGAGGAGGCCAAAGGGCATGGGGACCAGCCACCACTGGTATCTGCAGGAACAGGGGTGGTAGCAAGGCG